GACAACCAGGGGGCCATAGCGTTAGTGCAGAACCCCCTCAGCTCAGGTCGCACGAAACACATCGACGTGAGATTTTATTTCATCCGCGGATTGTTTAGGCCGGGGGATATTTCGGTCAAGTTCATTCCGACAACGGAGCAACACGCGGACCTCCTAACCAAGGCCCTTAGCAGGGCTAGTCTGCAGTACCATCGGCGCAAGTTGATGAATTTGCGGGAGTAGCTGTAGCAGTTTCTAGCACTTGGGAGAGGTCATGTTTTCCATGCGCATAACTGTTGCTNAACACGCGGACCTCCTAACCAAGGCCCTTAGCAGGGCTAGTCTGCAGTACCATCGGCGCAAGTTGATGAATTTGCGGGAGTAGCTGTAGCAGTTTCTAGCACTTGGGAGAGGTCATGTTTTCCATGCGCATAACTGTTGCTGTCTGTGTACCAATGGCAGGAGTGGGGGGCGTTGGGAGACCATCGTCCGGGGGAACGTAGTTCCTCGCGTTCTTGTCTTCGCCTTGGCCATTCCAATAATTACGGCCGTTGTGATCCGCTGTGATAGCGACGGTTTTTGTGGTGGTAGGTTTTTTTCGAGGGGTTTTGCCCGGACGCCTGTTTTCCCCTCCATATATTACCATGTTGGTATTTTCTGATGTTTCCAGGGGCATTCTTGCCCCATTGATGGTTAGTCACTTGCGTGAAGAACCAGGGAGGGTGTTCGTGGGTCTGCGAACATTGGTGTTGGATACATGTGCTGGATGATTTGGTGTCACGCAGACTGGTAAGATTGCCGTTTTGTAGGGGGCACCGCGATTATTCACGGGGCCCCTTCTTGCTGTGGGAGCCGCTCTTTGAGCACTCCCTCTTTCGTCCGTGTGAAGGACGGTCGTCTACCTCTCGTGAAGTTAATACATCACCAAAACAGTCTCACCCGATAAATAAGTGGCGTAGGCCGCAAACAGGCAGTTCAGAGATATGTGTCCGGTATATGTACGCCGCTCGGCATCGGGGATCATTTCCGATTTATTTCAAAAGGCAAGAACTTATTACCTATTTGTCTAATCTTGTTCCTTACCAAGACGGCCACCGTAACAAAACTGAAAGACACTGTATAAAGTTCAATTTCATCGCTGGCGACTTACATCGGGGCTGACAACTCTGTCCGTGAGACTAGAATCGTGTTATCGGGGGAACTAACTGCCGTCGAAGCGTCCCCCCCCCCCCCCCC